AGATTTGCAAAATAGTGGGGTACAGCTTTTTCCATATTTCCCTACATCTGTCTAGGGTAAAGGAACTTGGGAGCAGGAGGGGAAAACAAAGCAGAAATGAAAGCATATATTCAGACACTGACAATAACGCTTCCTTGGGAGTCAGGCCTACTGGGCTGCTTCCCAACATTTTTTGTACTCTCCTCTACAGAAATGCATCTGTTTTAGAAATCCGAGAAGACCTTGTGAGGAGGGTGCTGGCCTAGCACGGAACACAGCAAACTGCTCTGCAGAGTGCCAGCAGGAACTCCAGCAAGGGCATTCCCAGACGCGTCTTCCAGTCGCTCTAAGGTGGCATCAAAGTCTCCGGTTATGGGACGGCAGGGTGCTGGGGGCGGGAGCAACAGTCAGCACATCAACCCCCAAAAGACGTGGAGGTTCATGGGCCCCAAGAAGACAAGCACGGTGAAGAAATCAGAGGGGTGGGGGGGGAGACATACATTTGATAACATCATTTCTTCTGTTTTTGTCTAAAAAGGGGGGCATCTCCTGCAGGTGAAGCAGCGGCCACGTGTGTGCACCTAGTCTGCCAGCTGGGGCGGCTTGGCGGCTGACTCGGGCCACTCGTACACGTCGGGAAGCAGGGACTCGTACGTCGTCCGCCACAGCCTTTCTCGGACAAACTTGGCCTTGTCCTCGGGCTCAGGGTGCCGGAAGGCCATCTTCTTAGCATACAGGTATTCTATAACCTGGGAAATAAACGAGCAGCACGATGATCACACCAACAAGTGAACACGATCATGTTTATCAAACATTTCTTTGACTCATTTTTGAAAATTCAGAACCTCTATGTTGGATATAAAACTGATGATTTAAAAAATGGAAACTGCCACCTTGTTCACAATTAAAAAAAAATAACAAGAAAACTACAGACAGTTTAAAGACCATGGGTTACCCCCTTTTTTTCTGTGTCCAAGGGTTTTCTGTGTACAACCAGGCTTCCTCACAGGGTTGCCCAGTGCCTTAAAGAGCTTCCTAGTGCAGTGAGAGACCAACGGGAAAGCCAGCACGGAGTCTCCGTTTCCCAGACTGAAGCATCAATCATTCCCCCATTTCAGTTATCTTGGAATTTGTAACCCAATTAGAAAATCGTGAAACAGAGTAAGTAGAACAGCCAAGGAAATACCAGAGAACATAACGGAAGGAAACACAGAGCACCAAACACA